TATTTGGCGCATTTTGTTGATATCATTACTTTTGTAGAGAAGATAGTTTTGTAGAGAAGATATTTTTGTAGAGACGATATTTTTGTACAGAAGATTTTTGTGGAGACACTATTTTTGTAAAGAAGATACTTTTGCAGTAAAGATATTTTTGTAGAGATTATACTTTTGCAAAAAAGATAGAGTAACAAAATATATTCGGTTGAATTGGAGCTTAGACTTGGTGCTTTTTTTTACCTTTTTTTAAAAAGGTAAGTTTTTTACGTGTATAACACTACACAGTATATTTTATATTATTATTGAGTTGACAATAAATTGCATACTTGATCACGGACATGTGCTCCTGTTATGTCGCCCTTGTATTCCCTTGGTGCATTATCAATTATGTCAATCTGTCTATGTTGTAATTCAACATCAGGGTACTCATCGTCTAACTGTTCTTCAAAATATTCTAATTCTTTTACATTTGCTATGTTATGCAATACACAGCATGCGTGTATGACACGCACCATTCGTACCATATCTCTCAATTTAAAATGATATAATTGACGAAATCTTTGCTTAAGACATCCAAATGCATTTTCGATAATAACTCTGCATGAACTTAATCTTTGATTGAACATTCTTTGTGCACGTGTTAAGTGTCCGTTATCTCTATATGGAACAATTAGTTGTTTCAAACAAGGATAAGCACTATCTCCCAAAAAGTAATAATTATCTGAAAAGTATCATCATAATATTAAAAAGCCAAGTTTATTATAGAAAATTTTATACAAATCAGTTTCTTGATATTATTTATTTTTACCTCCACAAATTTCATGCAAATCATTACGTATTGTTGAATTACGGAAAACTCTAGCGTCGTGGACAGAACCTGGATACCCAATAAAAACATCTATAAATTTCATGTTATGATTAACAATCCCTTGTAGTTGTATAGAAAAATATTGTTTTCGATTGATATATGAATCAGGATCTTCCAGAGGTTTATCGACCCTGATGCTCGAGATCTCAATATTTGAATATTTTCAATTAAAAATATAAGAATATATATATACATTTATGTATATGTAACGGGGGTAGCTGGGGAAGCGCGGCCGGAAGCGGGAAAAACCCGCATACCACGCGCCGGTGGCAAAAAACCCGCATACCTCGCATTCCACGCATACCGCGAGCGAGAGAGAACACAATAGAGCCGCGGTTACCATAACAACGCGGAGGTGGCAACGCCGCGCCTACCCCCGCCGCCTCCACCCGCGCGCCTATGTTCCGGAGGTATAAAAGCCCCTCCGGAGCGAGCGCGATGATCTAGTCTTGCCTCGGTGCTCCGAGCGACGACACCCGGCAGCGGGTACTTCCGCTGCGGTATACGCCGGTATCACGGGTGCTGCCGTCCGGTGATATACCACTCCGGGGTACACGACAGGTGGAGGCGCTGCTCCGTCGTGTGCCCCGGCCCCCTCCGCAGTAGTGTACAAGAACGGGGTGCTGCCCGGTGTACATATGATACTGAAAAAACACGCATAACGAGGCGCTGCTCGGGCGTGTTCCTGACCTGTTCCGATCCTTTTTTCCTGATCCCCGACCGGTGTAAAGCTCTGGGGGGTAATATTTCGGGAGGGAGAAAGATTATCTAGCCGTAAGCTCCGTAGCGTTAATACCGTCATTTTTCTTCCTTCCAGAATACCTAAGGATCCCGTAATTAACGTCCTTTCCGATTGTTCCAGCATTACCAGCGTTTAGTATTAGCCTCGAATTATATTCCGATCCGTTTGCGCATAAAGCGTATCTTGTATTACTTTCCTATATTTTGTGACCCAGCGTCAGTTTTGTTTACTTCCGATTAAATCCGACCAGCCGTATCATTCTGTATTCCGTACTCCGATCCGGCCGCCACTCCTGTACTCTGTTATCAATCCGGCCAATTGTATTTTGTATCCCGGTATCTCAATTCCCGTCGCGTACTCCTGTACCGTAATTTAATCCGTCTAATTACACTTCCCTTTCCATTATATTTTGACACAGGGCGTACCCATTGTACCTATTAATCCGTCTTCTTTTTTTCTGTATTTAATCACAGGGCGGACCCATTATAATATCCTCGATCCTATGTATTATATCCGTTGAATAAACCTTGTTCCTATTGTTATACCGAAAAAACCTGTACGACTTATTTCCGATCCCTTCCAAGCGATTGACTCTATTTGCGAATTAAGATCTACTTTGCCTCCTTTCCTCCCGACGGCCCTGGAGCTGAGCATATTCGGCAACAGGAGGAACGGAGGATTCACTCGAACCGACACACAGCACGTCAAACACCGAAACCGAAACGCGAACTCTTTCGACCGTAGTCAGAACCGCGCGTCTGATTAACGGGAATTCTTATATCCTGAGTAAGAATTCCTGCCGGAGTCCTGTCCGGAAACCGGAAAGGGGGAACGTTCGTTACATATACATATATTTATATTTACCAATTACACCAGGAAATTGTTTTTGTTCTAGATAAAAATTTGCGGTTTCTTCTTTTTCGAGTTGAGTTGGATATTTAATAACATTAGGTGCTATAGATAAAATAAAATCGGTTACTCTTGTAATTACTGAATGTAACGAACTTATTGTTATGCCAAATCTGTCTGCTACATCGCGATAAGATGCAGTTTGATGACCAACAAACCATAAGTAACATAAAATATGTTTTTCAGCGGTTATTTTTATATTTCCTATACGATCTGAAAAAATAACATAAAGATTAAATTAAAAACACACACACACACACACACACACATATACAGGGTGTACCGCATCTCGTGACCGAAATTTTAATAGCGTATTTCTGAGCAAAAAGTAAGACGAAAATCCTAATACGAAAATGTCGAGGCTATAATACTTTTCAAATGGGAAGCATTTATAATAGACAAATCAGGTAGTCTAAAGTTCGCGCGTTCAGGGACGGTACATTGCACAGTGATAAAGGTACTCTTGCATCTTTGCCGATATACCTCAAAAAATTTTAGTAGTATGTACAATGATGCTGACGTTATTGATTGAGTCATATTTAAACATGAAAAAATAAAAAATAATAAATTTAAAAAATAAATATGAGAAGTTGTCCACATGAGAAGTTGTCAACTTATGAAATGTCTCAGACAATTTATATGGTAAAAATATTTTCTTCAATATCGATTTATATTGAGGTTATTTTTTTACTATGTAGATAAGATAGATTTCACATTTTATTCAATTCGGCAATGCCTAATGGAAACTATGTTGATACAAACGCGAAATTTATTAACAAATCTAGTAACAAACTTTTTTTCTATTGAATATTGTATTTTTATTGTACTACTATTAATTGTACTACTACGAAATACTATAATTTGTATAATAACGTTTATTTAAAATTTGACAACATACGTTCAAAATGCCTTCCGCCTAATTTTACATGAAGACGTGCCCGTCGAATTAAATTGGTCTCAGCATTTTTAATCATTTCGGGAGTAATGGCAACAGCTTCTACAATCCTCCCTTGTGTCCCCAGAAGAAAAAGATCAAGGGTGTAAAACCTGGCGATCTTGGTGGCCAAGTTATTCTTTCACTTCCGCAATCAATCCATTTTCCTAGGAACACACAATCGAATAAACGACGAACAACCATAGCATTGTGGTATGGTGCTCCATCGTGTTGAAAAAATCATTTTTAGGCGATGTACTGGCGATATTTTCTCCATTAATCGTGGTAATTCCAGCATTAAAAAATTATAATAAACATCGCTATTTAATTACTCTGCCTGGCAACTCGAATAGTCCAATCTAAACTTTATTACAAATGTGTAATTACTTAATGTGTTTTTATTAATTTTTTTGTTTAACAATAATGGAACAATAACAAATTCTAACATTAATGCAAAATTTTCAAA